GAGCCAGTCCCACACGGCCTTGAAGGGGCTGTAGTGCAGGATGGTCCAGCGGTGGATGCGCGGTGCCTGCAGCTTATACTCTGGCAGCACGTCGGCGCCCAGGGACAGGACCTGGACAGGCAGGGAAGGCAGAGGTGAAGGAATGCTGTCCCACTGGAGTCTGGGCCAGGGGAGGACAGGCCATGGGATCTCCAGGGTGGGAGCAGACGTCATCTCTGCTGGGGCCGCCAGAGAAGAGACCAAGCAGAGTAAGGGAGAAGCCAATAAGTGTCGGTCAGGATGCCCATCCCTCAGCCAAGTGGCCATAGCCACCGCCCACCTTGGGACTCAGGCACTACTCTTCCCCATGCGGCACGCAGACCGCTGTCTGACAATCTGAGTTCAGGGCACCAGAAAGTAATATCCAGATGTACGGCTCCCCTCCCAGCAACGCACAGCCATACCTCTGGTAACTTCCCCACGCGACCTTGCCCACCGCCCCCAAACACCACATAGACCCCACCACCACCACACACACACACACTCACTCACACCATGATGCCAGTATAGAAAATGCTCCAAGGGCTAAGACTCCAAGCCTGGGTGATAACCCCAGGAGGCATAGTTCGACACATAAAATGGGGGGTGGTCACTGCCGTTCCCATAGCAGTACCACTCCTGGTGACCCGGGCACTGAGAGCCTAAAGGTCCCTTTGCCACTGGCCCAAGGGTACCAGCCACCCAGACTCAGGCCCCTTGGCTTCCCTTGGGGAGAGACCAAGACACACACCCCCGCCGCTCCCCAGCCCCGTCCCCAGACCCAGGGCAGCCCTCAAGCTTTGCCCTCCCACACTCCTCCAAAGGCCCACAGAAGACCTAAACCAGCCACAGATGTACCCACATGTGCACAGATGGACGTGCACACCGGCGAATGTTCCCAAGCGTCCTACCCAGCCCCGCACGGGCTCAACGGCCAGGCAGAGGCAGGCCTGCCACCCACCCCAAAGAGCCAGCAGCTCGTGCCATTCTCCTCCCAAGCTGAACTAGAAAGAACTGAGGCCAGACTTCCCACACTGGGCCAGGAGCCTGTCCCCTGTTGCCTCCCCCTGCCCCCTAGAATCCTCCCTCACAGACATCTGACTCACCTCCAGACTCTGTCCCTAGGCCCTCCAGGCCTGGCGCTGCCATCCCCAGGCAGCCAAACCCAAGGCCTCACCCACACCCTTGAGAACCAAGGTTGCTGGTCCCACTCCAGGAAGCACTGAGTGCCGGGGCCCCACATCCTCGGGCCTCTGGACCAGGAGAGAGTCAGGGTGGGGGGAACCCCCAAAGATACCCATTCATACTCAAGCCAGGGATCCCGGGGACCCACCATCCCCAGACAGACTCCTCGGAGCCTTAGAGGAAGTAACTGGATGTTAACGCGGGCCATGGTTAGGGGTTTGGCCACCCTCAGGGAGACATGGCAGCTCCAGAGACATCTGACAGCTGGGGGAGCAGCTGTGCCCTGCCTTCACCCCAAGCTGCTTGCTCCTTAAGGCAGAGAGCATGAGGCAATGGCCTTTCGAGGGTCAAGTGAGGACTGGAGAAAGAACCGGCCAGGGCCCCCACAGACAAGGGGGCAGAAGGTAACTGCCCCTGGAAGGGGCTCCTCCCCAAGCCTGAGAGGCCAGGCCCCCTGGGGGCTGTGTTGGACCACACCCACAGCCACCCTGCCCCTCCCTGAGTCTGAGCGAGCAAGACCTGCACAGCGCCCCTGCACAAATGCACACTCGTGGGACAAACCTGAGACTCAAGGCCTGGGTCCACAGACCTCATCGGACAGGGGCCAGGCCCTGCTCTGCAACCACCGGCTTACCGTATGGCCTTGGCCCAGGTCTGTAACCCCCCCTTGACTTCTGGTTCCACAGAATACTGAAGCTTATTTAAGTAAACCAAATCCTGGGTCCTCCCCTATGGGTAGGATTCTTCCCCGCCTTACATCTGTTCCCCAGCTGGAAGGAGCACATGAGCCAAGGCAGGGAGTTCAGGTGGCAGAGGAGTGGGATTCTCAGACTCACTCCTAAACCACCTGCAACTGCCTGGAGCTTGCTCCCGGCTGACAGAAGCCTGGGGGCAGACAGGTGACTCCCAGGATTAGCCTACAGAATAATCAGCCTGGGGGTAAGGCAACACAGCCCCCAGCTCCCCAGGCTGCCCGGGAAGAGGTAATCCAGGTGGCTGAGCTCTGCCCGCTGCCATCCGGTGGCCTGTGACCTCACACGCTCCTCAGCCTCAGCCTCCAAATCTGGACCCCTGAAGCAGCCCAAGCCTCCATCCCCCCGCACGGTGTCCAAGCCAGCACACGGCAGGGAGCATTAGGGTCCCAGAGCTTTGCTGGCTGGCCTCTCACTGTCCCACCATGCTCCTCTCCTCCCCGTGCGCCCACCGTCATCCTCTCTGGGCACCCATTTCATTCCTGTTCTCCCTCTCCTCCTTTTGTATTTGGAGCCAGGACCGTGGGCCACAGAAGCCCTGGGAGAGGGGAAGCCCTGGCAAGAAAAACACTGTCCACCCAGGCCCGGCAGGCCTGGAGAGCGAGCAGGGGCCAGCAGTGGGATGAGCAGAGCTGCAGACCCCATGGCTCCCCAAACCGTCCTTCTCAGAAGCCCTCTCCCGGCCCGGCCCTGGGATCCAGAGCCCTCCTGGCCGCACCCAACTTGCCAGCGCCTGTCTGGGTGCCCCAGCCCAGGGAGGGAAGGGGAGTGGCTTGGGGGGGGTGGTCACCTACCTCCTGGGCCACCAGGCTGGAGATGCGCACGGCCCGCCTCACCCGGCCTTTCTGGGCCCTGGACTGCAGAGCCCCTGTCCCGCTCGCCTTCCCTGCTGGGGCCGCCATGGAGGACTTGGCTCCCCCCAGCCTGCCTGCCCTGGAGCCCGAGGGCCCGGCCAGCGCCTCACCTGCACCCCAGCAGCAGTCCCAGCCCAGGCTGCGCCCCAGAGACTGGCGGCCTGGCTTCCAGGGCAGCCTCTGGCATGAAGCCAGGGTCGCTGGGGCTGGGCCCCGGGGCCGGGTCACCCAGGCAGTGAGTGTGGACGGCAGCCCGCCTGGGTCGGGCTGCCCATGGCCCCCTGGTGCGAGCCCCGCTGCCAGGGTGCTGCGCTCTGCCCGCAGCGCCGCAGTCGGAACCTCAGCTCCTCAGCTCCTCAGCCGGCCCCTCCTCCCAGGTCCCCACCCCC